CTAGGCTAAATATTAAATATAAAATCTCTCATTTCATTATTTAACATCGTTTTAATTTCTCAGTGCAAGATATTTAATAATTGGTTTTGTGAAAGCTTATAGTTGGTGATTACAACTGACAGCCTACTAATAATTAATTAGATTTTACTATGAATTAAATATCACAAATGTTTAAGTTTTATTAGAGCTTAAAATATATTATAATATTTAAAACACAATAAGTTACTTAGGGACAATCAAGCCTGTCGTGTAATCACCATTAATAACCTTTTTTTCTGCAAACACAGTGTTCAATGTTTTTATAACTTAGTTGTTTTATGTCACTGCCTAACGTTAGATCTATAACATAAGTTGATAGAAGTTAACTCGCTTTAGTGTCAAATCAACAGAAACGCCAGTAATCCACAGAACATCGTCATCAACTTCTGAAAATATTTTCTAAACCCAAAGTGAGAATAAAGCCAATTATACTAATCACTTAAACTAATAAACTTACCACCAAGAAGTAAGATCTTTTCTGGCAGTATCTTGCTCTGTCCATGTCGTGGCGGCGCACCTCTGCGTTGTCCTCTTCACTGCTAAATTGTTCGCGGGAGCTGACGACCTGATAATCTGCTCGTGTGTTCTCTTAATATTAGATCGGTGCTATCCACATTCACTAGGTCCGAGTCAGTGAAATAACAAAGCAAAATTTGGAAAATACATGATTTCTGTTGAAATATCCGAAACTATAATGGAATACCACAGACAGTCAGTATCCGTTGTCCTCGCCCCGTAAGTTCAAATGGCAGTGTGTGATTGGACAATTGCCGGCAAGCTTGTTTTGAAAAGATTGGCTTTGATTGGTCCAAATGAATGCAACTGGAAATACTAACTAATGGCCACAAAAAAAGAAACAACTCTGTTAATATAAACATAACATGCTTTATAAACAGCATGTTATACAGTTTTTTTATTCATTTTGGCTAAACAAATGTAAGAGTCAAGCTTTAACAAATTTATTTTGTTTTTCTGGTATGTTGCTCTGGGGAGCTGGAGAAAAATCATTAGCCAGTCGATGTACATAATCGACTGTAATATTCGGCAAATGTTCAAGACATCTGGAGAAATATACATAGTCCATCAGGCTACCGGAAACTACCCTTGTGAAAAAAAAGTGCACTTTAGTGTAGGCTACTTTTATAAAGTGTACTTATTACAAAAATAATACACTTTAAATGAATACACTTAAGTGCGATTTAAAAACAATTTTTTCGGGGTACTGAATGCACATTAAGTGTAATTTATTTCAAATATATCACATATTAAGTTGAAATAAAGTGTAATAAGTTGCAATCAAGTGTGATTTTTTGGAACAACTTAATTGGTACTTTAATACAACTTTATATATACTTTCATAATTGCTTCTAGTGTATTTAAATTATAGTTAAAGTGCACTAAACAATATGATGACACGCAATTAATGTGATTAAAAATATACTTTGAAGTCAGTCAACAATACACTTAAGTGTGAATTAAATACAATTTTTTCGGGGCACTGAATGCACATTAAGTGTAATTTATTTCAAATATATCACATATTAAGTTGAAATAAAATGTAATAAGTTGCCATTAAGAGGGATTTTTTTGGAACAACTTAATTGGTACTTTAATACAACTTTACATACACTCTCACAATTGATTCCAGTGTATTTAAAATACAGTTAAAGTGCACTACACAATATAATGACGCAATTAATGTGAACTAAAATATACTTTAATGTCAGTCAACAATACACTCAAGTGTGAATTAAGTGTAATGTTTTCGACAAACTTAATGCATATTATATGTAATTGATTTCAAATGTATCACAGATTAAGCTCAAATTAAATGCTATTAGTTGATATTAAGAGTGATTTTTGAAATATGGTAAAAGTGTACTTCCAAATATACTGACAAGCAAATAATGTCAACAAAAATATACTTTAATTATATAATAGTGTACTTGTTTATTACATTAAATACATTTTTTTAATTAAAAAAAATATAGTTGCAATTTATTTGAAATTTGGACAAAAAAAGTCTTAATAACCTATATAGTTACAATCAACACAAATTCAATTTAAAACCCTCTATATTTACTGACAAAACAATCTCTAAAATAAATACATAAAAACCTTTCTGTTGATGCACAAGAAAAAACCCAAGAAACAAACGGTTACAACACTTAAAATGAAAATTCTGTCATTATGCGCACCTTCAAGATGTTTCAAACCTGTATGAATTTTTCTTCTGCTGAACACAATGAAGATATTTTGAAAAATGTCAGTAACAAAATAGTTAACTGGTCCCATTGACTTCCATGGTATTTTGTTTCCTACTATGGAAGTCAATGGGACCAGTTAACTGTTTGGTTACTGACATTTTTCAAAATATCTCCGTTGTGTTCAGCAGAAGAAAGAAAGGTAACACTTAACTGCACACTATTATTCATTATAAGCATGAGTTAAAGGAGCTAAACGCAAGTCTCTGAGTTTTTGCAGAACTACGCCCCCTCTGGCGACAAGCGAAACTGCAACCAGAGCTGTGCGCGTTCATGGAGGAACACACACACACATACGCACGTTTGCACGAGCTGTTCATAACTAAGGAGCATCAGCCGCACACTGTGCGGCACACATCTTTTGTTACAGTCATAATGAGGTAATACAGTAATAAATCTGCAAGTCATTTAAAATATATGAAAGGAAAGGCATTCGAGTAAATTACACACTTATGTGTGTGAGAGGGGGAAACGGGGGTAGTAGAAAACTTCGGTTTTTGTTTCCATCTATCTCCCTGTGCTTACTGTATCCACTTATGATTGAATTATTATGGAAACACGTTCAGTTATCACTTTGTATAGGCTATGACTCGTTTGAGCCCTAGAGCCGACCGGAGATCTCTCCGTTTGTTGAAAGCTTCCCGATGTTGACTCTCGTCTTATTCCGACGCATGGCACTGGACAGACAGAAGTTTTATTTTCTGTCTCACGTGGAGTTTGCGTTGGGGTTTGTAATGAGCTACAAGCCGGTCTCTTTCCGCGCCATATACAGATTTAATGAAGTGCACGTCACCGAAAGCAACAGATATGAGCTGGATTTTATTAATCATCGGCTAATTTCAAAATCAGCAAAGACAGCAATAAGAGAGATCGGCAACAGGCCTGGTAAGATCATTTCATTTCTTTACTTTTAATGAAGATGGTAGTGTTAAGCGTCTGCGACTTACTTTCACTAATTCACTTTGATTTGCGATAGATTGCGGCGCTTGATGAAGGGGCTCAGCTCAGCTGCTCAGGTGATGCGCGTCATATGACTAAAATATCATGACATATAGCTTGGTTTCAACAACCAGATGCATTTACACTTGTCCAGTTTCGTCTGGAATACGGCACAGACCACGTCCTCAAGTGGTTTGAGCGATCGAATTCAAATCCGTCTCGAATGCGTTTCGGAGGGTATTTACACCCTGGTCTTTTCACGATCGAATAGCTATCCGATCACAGAAGACACATGAAGTGACCAGGTGTAGGCTAAACAGCCCCTTTGAATCCATCGTTTACTTTTGTGGAAAGCTGACTAGAGTTGTGTCGCTCGAGTTGTCTTCTCTGATACGGAGAACGGCGGCGAATAGCTACACGAACCTGCCAGACATAGCCAGGCGAGCGTGAACGCGCATGACGTCACGCCCAGTCTCAGATTCGAGCCCGAATCCCTCTTATATATTTCACTGTACAGGGTTATAGAGGCGATCGCAGTGATCAAAGAAGGGCTCATTCAGCCCATCAGGCGATTGTTTAAGCATGTATGGGTTAGAAAACGGCTATTTTTAACATGAAAAGTTGCGCAATGCACCTTTAACAGTTAATCATTTATAAAGCATTAATAGACATTAATAATAAGTTTCTAAATACAGCAATAAATGTTTTTTTCCTTGATTTATAAGCATATCTAATGTGTTTAATAATTGTATTTTCATACTTTGTTAATGATCAATTAATAATTTCTTAATGAAGTATAGCATTATTTACAAACCAGTTATTTAAGAGTTGTCAGTGATTCATAAGATCACTTAAATGTAAGTTGAGGGTGAGTATATGATGACAGAATTTTAGACATTTTCAGAAAACATAATTCTGTATGATTTATAAGATTGTTTCCATGTAAATTACTGGTATTACTATACTGTTGGGGTAATTTGGTCTCCATAACCTAGGGATTAAACACCATTTTAGAAGCAAACACACATTACATCAAATACACAACCCATGAATTAATACAAACAAAATGTGATGTTGCAAAATGTGAACACTAAGATTCAAACGGGTAATGAAAAAGGTATTATTAGTTAACTCCTTCAGTTAACATGAACTAAGAATGAATAATACTTGAAGCATTTGTTAGCCTTAGTTAATGTTAATTCCAACATTTAATAATGCATTATTTTATTCAAAAGTTGTGTACTAAAATTATAATGCACTGTGAACTTGTATGAACAATAACTATAAATTGTTCTAACTTTAACAAACTATATTTGAATGGGCTTTATGCACAGCTGCACTACTTCCTGAACTTCAGTCAGCTCCTTGTTTCCTGTCTGCCATTATTGGGCAAAATTGATTAATTCAGGTGTGTATGATTATTGTTGCCGTGACTACTGAGGTCAAGCACACCTGAATTAATCAATGTGTCCAATAATGGCAGACAGGAAACAAGGAGCTGGCTGAAATTCAGAAAGTAGTGAAGCTGTGCATAAAGCCAATTAACTAATCTTAAAAAAAGATTAATAAATACTGTAAAAATGCTTAATTTTTAGATCATGTTTTGCTAATACATAAACTAATATTAACAAATGAGACCTAATTAAAGTGTTAACAAACCTGGTTAATTTTAGCTCTTAAACCTTTTCGTAGCACCAACATTAAAGAGGACAAAATGCTTACTTCAGCATTACAGTGAATATAATTTTGTCTAAAAAATAAAAATAAAATAAAAATGAAGAAATCCAAAGGCAAAAAAACAAGAAAACCAAAATCATTTGTCACCAAATGTTTTGAAGTAGTTGGAAAGTCCTGTTTATGTCAATGTCCCGGTGCTCTCCAAAGTAAATGTGAATGGATTTGTTCCAAAGAGGCAGGAAAGTCAGGAAAAAATACCTTGAGAAAAAAAAAGTGAAAAAATTTGTTTATAAAACATCCAGTCCATTATTAAATTTGGCTCAAATGAATGAAAGTGATAGATATTTTCCCTTTAAAGTTTTACATACACCTTGCAGTATCTGCAAAATGTTAGTAATTTTAGCAATAAGAGGGAACACAAAAATGTATGTTGTCTTTTTGTTTAGTACTACCCTGATGAAGCAGTTTATTCTGCAAGGTGTATACGTAAACTTTTGACTGCTAACTGTTGATGAATGTGTGATGTGATGAATTACCTCATCAGCGTCACACATAAATTATTGGAAACATGATCAATTTAGCTCCCGAATCTATATTGCATATAGCAACGTTACTATCTGCGATTAAAAAGCACTCATCGCAATATCAACTGCGGTGAAAAAAAAAATCAATAAGGAAAGCATCAAGATATACTTACTTGACTAATTATTTGCAGTATAACATCTCATCTGCAAACAGCCAAACGTGGCGCTCCTTTTGTTCTCTTCTTATTTCCTTTCCTCATGCATCGCGATTACAGAAACACAACAGCGCATTTTTCAAACTCTAGGAAAGTAGTGCGTCATCATGACGTCTGGCGCATGCGCTTTAAACACCGTGTTCATATACAGTATATTTTTATTTCAACTTTTCTGTTTAAGTTGAAGTTGTTCTAACTCTTTGTGTTGTTATACTCTGTAAGTTCACAAAACGCTACTCTTTCAACCAAATAAAAGTCAATAGTTTTGTTCAGTGTAGATTGCAATTAAATGTGTTTAATTTGACCAAACATTACTGTTATGCTAAGACTCCTCTCATAAATTACATTTTATTGTCATATATTATGTAGAAAACTGACAAAAATGTCAACAATAAGTTGTCCTGGATTATACTGTATTGCAAATTTATTGGAAAAACACATTCCAAGTGCATTAATGCACACAGTCGATATATTCTAGATTAAACATATTTAAAATAAATGAACTAATTGTTTTTGGACAACACACTTGAGTTGAAATTAAAATGAATTACTTTCCATGTTTTCCATTAAAATTATTATTTTATTTAGTATATTAGTCAATTCATCAAAATACATTTCATTTAATAACTTTAATAACTTTAAAACACTATAAAATCATAATTATTTAAAATGTCAAACTTAAGTAGACACAATTAAAAAGGGAATTTTTTAAAACATGCACTTAAGTGTGATTAGAAATATTAACATGAAAGTGTACTTTCTTTAACTAAAACTTAAGTAGACATTATTAAAAAAGGATTTTTTAAAAACATGCACTTAGGTGTATTTAGAAATATTGTGATAAAAGTGTACTTAATTTAAGTTAAATTTAATTAGATATTATTACAAAGTGCATTTGTAAAAAGTACACTTAAGTGTGTTTATAAATATGATCACGAAAGTGTACTTTCTATAAGTAAAACTTAATTAGACATTATTACAAAGTGCATTTTTAAAAAGTACACTTAAGTGTGTTTATAAATATTGTCATGAAAGTGTACTTACTTTAAGTAAAACTTAATTACATATTATTACAAAGTGCATTTTTAAAAAGTACACTTAAGTGTGTTTATAAATATTGTCATGAAAGTGTACTTACTTTAAGTAAAACTTAATTACATATTATTACAAAGTGCATTTTTAAAAAGTACACTTAAGTGTGTTTATAAATATTGTCATGAAAGTGTACTTACTTTAAGTTAAACTTAATTACATATTATTACAAAGTGCATTTTTAAAAGTGCACTTAAGTGTGTTTTTAAATAATGTGATGAAAGTGTACTTACTTTAAGTTAAACTTAAGTGGTCTTTAATTGTAATTATATTATATTATCTGCAAGTACACTTTTCAAAAAGTATACTTTCATGAGTTTAAGCACACAAAAAGTACACTTTCAATACAATTAAGCACACTTCTTTTTCACAAGGGTAGACACCCCCTATCGGTTTCGCAGCCGGAAGTAGCATATGCTAACGTGCACATAGTCCATTGTCTTGGAAAATAATGCTGTGGATCGTACGGTAGAAATTGAGGCTGAACCAGTTTCTTTGCAGATTGAGCAAGTGAATAGTAATCCTAATGTTCTACCTACAGTAAATGATTCGAGTGTCTTGACTTCCACTTCAGAAAGTAGACAGGAAGGTGCAAATAATGAGGGTTTTGTGGCTTGTGAAGAAGCACAGTTAAAGCTGCAATACCTAAGATTTAGATGCCGCTAGAGGGCGCTACATTCAAAACAACAACAACGGCTTTGCTTGATGACGCCGTGGAGGAACGCGGAATGATGGGAACTGTTGTTTTCAACTCCACCGTGGATAAATCAGTCAGACGGGAATCGAAAATTAGTTGTCATGGATGAGGTAAAGTTCGATTTCTATAAATGTTGCGTTTAATGACATGCTTGTTTTTCATTAAACTGAAATAACCGCAAGAGAAGTCAGGTTTAAAAGTAAATTAGTTATCACAGATGCTACTGTACGAGTCACTGGACGAAGCTATGGTGAAGAGGGTTTGAAGGGGCAGGTCTCTTGCAAGGAGTTGACGTGGCTGGTCCTTCTTTTTGGTAACTTTATAAAAATAAAAAATCAATTTAATGTACATTTGACACATCTTTTCATGTCGTGTAAGTATTCAACTACAGCTAACTTTCACAAAATTAACGTTAAGGGGGTCGCACACCGGACGAGAAGCTGCAGCGCCGCGTCGCGCCACATATTTAAAATTCGAACACATTATTATCTATAAGTGTAACGTTACACATACCAGCGGTGCCATTCGCCGTCTGTCCGCGGCGCCCAGCAACGCATCAGGACCGTGTTCAAAATCCTGCTGCGCCACAGAGCGCCATTTACATAGTATAAAATTTGTATTATTTTAGTCTCAAATCGTTGCTAATGGACCCTGACTTCGCCCTGTGCTTCAATATGCATTTAGTTTTGCATTCATTTACAGAAATCAGCTGCTTGAATGACAATTGCTGATGTTATTAGATTTTTCAGGTGAGATTCTCAATTCATTCAGTGAACGGATGCTCTGAGGTAAAGTTTTCAGAATGCAGACTCAGCAACGATTGTATTTAATTGTACAGTACAATCATAACATAGAACAGACATTATCTTCATTTTCTGTCATTAAACATAACAATATTGCTGGCCATACACTGATGAGAAAGTGCGCGTCCGGTGTTCTACTGTGGAGTTGTCCTAAACGTGGCGCGGCGCTTCTCGTCCGGTGTGACCCCCTTTACAGCCAACAGTTCACATTCCGAGAATAAATGAAAAGAACAATTGTGCTTCATTCCATAACAAATGCGCGAAACAAGCTGACGTTTGTTGCTTGATAGACGCTAACGCACAACTACAACTACCGCATTTGTCCAGGACTACACGTATACGAGCGGAAACCGAGGTAAGCAGATATGACGCGATTGACTGGCGACTCCCAGCTCACCCCTGCTCATACGCCCCGTTTCCTTGGTTAAAAGGAGACCATTGGTCTACAAAATGAGGAAATGCAAGATACGGAAAGTGACAGCGACTCGTCAGAATATAAAGAATCACTCAGCACCATAAAGACCAAAAATGGCTTATTGAAACCCATTAAAACGTTGTTTAAATCCGAGGCTGTCATTAATACATGAAACATGATTTTTGCTCAAACATCCTTTCATTTTGAAGCAAAAGCATTATATTTGCATTATATAGTGTATTCCACCAGATGATGTCACTACATCTGTATTCCCTATGGGTGGAAATGCACCTTATTTTCCTGGTTTCCACTTGGGGCAGTATGGAGTGTGTTATGAAGCATTTTAATGGCTCAATGATCTAAAATTATGTTTCGGAGTATGTGTGGATGTCTGAGAGCAATGTGTGTGTGTGTTGACAAAAGTGTGTGTGTGTGTGTAGGGCCTAAATATAATACATGGTGTTTGTGTGAGTGGCAAATCACAATATCCTAAAGGTAATATTTTACCCTTTCTGTTTACTCTCTCTCTATCTCTGTCCCTCTCTCTCTCTCTCTCTCTCTCTCTCTCTCTCTCTCTCTCTCTCTGTGTGTGTGTGTGTGTGTGTCAGTGGTGTTGTGTGTGTGTGTGTGTGTGTGTGTGTGTGTGCGTGCGTGAGTGCGTGCGTGGGTGCGCTTATAGCTAGAGAAAGCGCTTCTCACTGCATTGTTTTCTTTCGGTTTGATTCATGCATATTTTACGCACAAACATGAATCTTTTGAATTTTACGCATCTTTGACATCTTTGTTAGCAGTCTATGTTTCAAAGTTAATTGATAACTTTGCACGTATGAAGAGGCACAAACACAGCCATGCAGTCAGTCTTTAGACAATAATAGACGATAATAACGAAGTCTGCCTTTCATACAAGTGTGGTTGATGCAAAAGTTATAAAGGTATGCACATCTTTGGTGCAGCAATTTTAAACTCGACAAGATGAAGAAAAGCTAGTGGGTCTGCAGACACCCATGACAAGAGGAGGAGGGGGTGCAGTTTCAGCCCTAGCAAAAAAGAAAAATCTCCACTACCTGTTCAAAATGTGGCATTTTCATCTGTAAAGCTCAACTTCAGACAACAGCAAAAGGGGCAAAACGAGTGGGTCTTGAGGTCAACATTAAAAAGAAGGAAGCAACCTAGAACTTGCCGGGCCAGAGACGCCAATAATTCATCGAACTCGATGGACAAAAACTCGAATGGACAAAAGACTTCAATTATCTTGGCTCTGTCATTGCATCGAGAGAAACAGACATCAGAGCACGAAAAGGACAAGCGTGGGGATCATTCTGGAAAATGAAGGATGTATTTCTGTCAAAAACTCTTCCAATCAAACTCAAACTAAACATCTTTGAAGCAGCGTGCATTTCCATCCTCCTGTACGGCTGCGAAAGTTGGATTATCAACCACAAAATGCAAAACTCACTCAACAGCTTCGCCACCAGTTGCTACAGAATCTTGGCATAAAGAAGATGGATCGAATAAGTAACAAAGCTGTATACAAAGCCATCGAAAAGAACCAGCTTATCCTTCAAATCCAAGGAAGCTACGCTTTGTCGGCCACTCACTTAGAAGAGACCCAAATAACCAAATTAACAAATATGTGTTATATGCACCCAAAGAATGACATGGCAAACAAAGCCGAGGAAAGCCACGCACATTATACCATACATACATCGGCAAACTAATCAACAATGACATGCCACCAACAGCTGACGAGATGCGAAGAGCTGCTAGTAATCGAACAGAGTGGAGAAAACTTGTGACCGACTGCAAACCCGTTTTGTTCGCTCCCGAATGATGGTGATTACATCTGTAAGGAGCATGCATTGCAATTCTGCAGCTCCTGCAAATGAGCTGTTTTGATATATTTTATGTTTATAGAATACTTTTTTTTGAGAATTCATGTTCATGGCATATTCAAGACTGTGATAATCCAAAGTCAAGGGTTTCTCTTTGCATTTAGTTTACTGAAAATAA